CAAAATAGAACAGAATAAAAGGATGTTAAAAATAAGGGAGCCACCTCACTAATTCCCCCGTCCCCTGGGGTCCTCAGTCCTGCTGGCATAACCAAATCTTAAGGGACCTCTGGAAGCTCAACAATGACGAGGCCAACCTCACCTCAGGGGGGAGAAGATTCCACAGCACAGGTGTCTTGCATTGCAGTAGTCTACCCAAGACGTGATCAAGGCATGAGTAACTGTGAGTAGTGCCTCCCAATCCAGAATGGGCATAACTGGCACACAAGATGGATTTGTGCAAAGGCCAAAGTAGTTAAAAATATAATACAGTTAATGTTATATGGAGTTATTAAGCACTGGCAGCATAAAACCTGCAAGCTGTGAAAATACTTTGGAGGCAGAGCTAAGATGGCGACAGAGCAGCAGTTTCCCTGCTAAGTTCCTTATGATATTTTGTCCTATCCATTTTTATTAATAGTCTAGCTACAATCTTGATTTTTATCTAGTTTTATTTCATAAACACATTCTCCGCAAGAGATATTCTAAAACTGAACACCAAGTCCCTAAAACATCATAAAGGCTTCAGTCACAATATGCCAACACTGAAGCAACAGGGGAGAAAAGGAAACACAACAGGACAAGCCCAGGCTCTTGGATTCTACCCAAACCAACAAAGCAGCCAAAAATTGATCACTACATGATGGACAAGAAAACTGTGTGAAAATATTTCTAAATTTTACCATGTTTTGATGAAGTCATAAGAATCTAACTTAGAAAAGAGAAGTATGGAAAGCAGACTTCCAAACATTCTTTTCTTATGAATGTAAAGAAAATCAGAAAGATTAATTCCCAAAATTGGTAAATAGGTAGACAGACACAGAGACACACTAATTACAATAGGGCTCTCAAATCTCATGATTTTAATTTTTTCCTTTTTGTAGTCCCATCTTTCCAAAAATAAAATGGTGATTCACAGCAGTTTATAAAAGAAAATGGTCAGTCATAATATATATCGTGTCTGTGCCCATGCGTACATACATACCTAGTATAATAATATCTGTTCCCATTTTTCAAGAGTTTTAATCATTTTCCAGAAATGATTAAAAAATAGGTCATATGCTCCTACTGGTCTGCTTTGATGCATATATATGTTCATTAATTAATGTTTGATCAAAAAAGATGAAATGCAAATACTTAAAAAATAATTGTAAAAAATCAACCTACAGCAAGGTAATTAAAATGCCAGACATATTTCTGCAAATGCTTGACTTAGTAGCAATCAGCTACCATTGCAAGATCTTTTACACAAGTACCATTACCAAGCTAGGTATCCCTCACACTATAGCAGTGGTTTTTAAAACTTTGTTCCTAAGACATTACATTTAAAATGTGTATATTACATTTCATTCTGTTATTTCTGGTCCATTTTTCTAATCTATCAAAACGTTTTGAATTCTAATTTGTGTTTCCTGACCAAATTCTGTGTCATCTGAGACTTTCTTAGTCCTACCTATGCACATATGCCAATGCTTACAGCCTGTCACCAACTTTAGCTGAGAGGCTAGGTGGGGAGGGATGGGCCTAATTAAACTTGACATTTGTGGTTACTGATAACAACTGCAACTGCTCTTGCTTGTAAGACTGATTACTCCCCTGTTGCGGGATTCCCCTCAGGACTGAGTTCTTCTATTACTTCTCTAGCTACCTATATTTCAGAAACACGTTTGGTTTCCACTTCCGTCCATGATTTCCAAATCACAGAGTACATAAGCAATTTTAAACACAATAAATGCATTGCAAAAGAGTTGGGGTAATTCTGTAATTTAAGTCCCAATCTTACAGGGACATTCACACTGGCTTCATAATATGAGAAAAATAAAACACATACTGTATGTACGAACAAGAAGACTCCTGTAAATAGATTTAGGCTCCAATCCAAATCCCAAAGAGGCTTACTTCTACATAGATGCATATAGTATTGTACACTATCTTTCAGGAGCAGTAAAATATTAAAAACTTGCCCCAAGAAGGAAACAAACAAACAAACAAACAAAATGAGGAAGCCGCTGTTTCTAAGCAGAACATCTAAGTTTCACCCTCTCAGATATCTCCACTGGACAACACTGAAGAGTTGTTTTCAGCTGGCCTGTCAAATGGATTTTAATGCCATACTTTGTTAGATACACCAGATGCCTTCTATCATAATTAAGGGGAACACTTCTCCAAAAACCATTTTCTAATGCTATAATAATTATAAAGCAGCTTGCATATGCATAATATTGGGGAACATGCAACATGCTTCATACACATCAGTGTATCTTCTCCTCTAGCATATCCTAAATGGATCTATAAGTATGAGCAGTTTGACCGCCTCAATGCCTTATTTATTTGTTAGATCTAAATCCCACCGAAAATTTCTTTCAAAAGCTCAGTGTAACTTCCATTTTATCCTACCTATGAAGTAGCTTAGATTAAGAGAGAGTGATTGGCCCTAACTTACCCAGTGAGATTGCATGGCTAAGGGAGGACTGCATTCTGGGAGTCTCCAGCCCTGGATCACTGCATTATACTGAGTTTTAGATAGCCTGATTCCTTGATCTGCACTAGAGGATTAAGGAGCAGACAGTAAGACAATACATTTGCTAATCTTGCTTTAACATGAAGACTTTTTGTCCTGCAGCAAAATAACAGTATCTGTTAAAAGGCATGATGTATACTTTTCTTAAATGTTTTTACATGAATCTAAAAATGTGGCTTACCTAGTCCAGCAGTAGCTTTCCCTACCACATAAACAGATTTAGTATTCCATTCTTTTCTCAGATAATTCTTCCAAGCTATAAAACATTAAATGATATGAAATATTTTGGCAATTAAATGCAAAAATGAAATGTTTATCTGGACATTGTCCAAAAGATGTCCTGTTTTGAAAATATCTGAGCTTAGCCAAACATTATAATATGAATTTCAATGATTAGGCAAAGCAAAGTTATTACCAGCTCCCACATATTTCGAATACCTGACTACTCAGATGAAATTCCCATTACATAAATGTAAACTCTAAAACTAGTATATCTAGGATTGCATACACATAGAATGAAACAATGCATCTTTCACACATCATGCTATGTTAAGATATAAGCCATAGTGTACAAACCACAATAGGTGGGTTCATACAATCCATTAAAGTAAAACCATGCAAACAACATTACGCTCACCTTCTTTTTTACAACTATCCACTAGGCATAATCTAACAGCTTCTACTGCTCTTGGACTGGTAAAAATTAATCCATGATATTGTTCAGGATGAAGAAGCTATTTGTCGGAGACAGAAATAAATAAATAAAATATTAACAGAATAGTCACCATCAAGAAATCTTAAAAAACAAGATGTAGGGTACTTTTAATGTTATTTTCATCAAAATCTTAATACACGTGAAAGCACTAAGATCCGTCATTTTAAACAATAATGGGATTCCATTATACCAAATCTTTGATATAGACTGACACATGGGAAGATTCTAGGGCAGATAATAAAGAGCTAAATCAATAAGCACCTTGAATATAATGCACTGATCTTTAGAGGTCAACATAAAAGCTGTCAAGATTAAGACTACCAAGATTTTTTTTGATTGGGTAACTTCCTTTGTAGATTATAGGAATGCTGTGGACATTATATATCTTGATTTCAACAAAGCAGTTCATGAAGTACACGACACTGTTACTAATAAACTAATTAAGTGTGGGGTTTTTAGAAGTGTGCCATCAACATTTTGTTGCCAAATTATAGGGAGGTACTTAATTTTTCAAGACAAATCAACTGGACTGGCAGTTGAACCCTTCTTCAAGACTGGTGATCAGACAGCATCACTCACCACATTTGAAGAAAGAGTGTAATGTATGAATGCTGCTCTCTCTCCTCTTACATTTTGCTGCTTTTGTCTGAGACAGCTGCCTTATTGTGCTTACTAGTAGAGCTCACCCTACCCCTAAAACAATGTGAAAAGGCTTCATCTGAAATAGTAACATGACTCATGTTTAAAATCCAATTTATATATAATTCAAAATGCATATAAATATGGTTGTATAACCTCATATCAGCAGATGTTTACAACCCTATTAGCAAGTATATTTACTGTATCATATATATATTCACAAGATGCTGTTTCTTTTAACAACAGATCTTTTTACCATCTGCTTTGAGTACTATTTATAAAATCAAGTACCATTACAAATAAAAAAAATAGCATAATCCTAGCTCAAGAGATTAATTCTAGTAATCAACCATAAGTCATAGCCCTAATTTTGGCACAATCGGACTTATGGTTGGCTTATTTATTCATTGGTATTTTTTCTCCATCTCAGAACATTGGTTCTGCAACGACAATTTATGGTAAATGAAATGAAAAGGAAAATAAATTGCTGCAGAACAACCTCCAAAAGCATTTGAAAATAAAACAATGTCTAGGCACTTATAAAATATTAAGAAAGATGCACCTATTTTTATATTTTATTTAAATGGCTGTGGATCATTGTTGACTCACCTAGTAATCAGTTTTAGCTATACAAGTTTACATCTAATATAAAAATAAAGGCCTTTTGGTCCTCAAACTACCACCTTTGTCAAAATGATAACCGAGAAGTAAACTCACTCACTGGAAGTATAATCCTCTTATAAGACATTAAACCAATTATAATACCATGAAAGTGCTAACTCATCTAGATAGAATCGTAACGTTTTTCTCTTCCACTGATTCTGAGTGAAAAAGTCTTTAGAAAATAAATATGAAATAAGTCAGCCAGGGCTACTTCACTTTTTTGGTAAGGAAACACATCTCTGCTAGATATTACTGAATTAGCAATGTCACAGGCAGCATTTCCTGCATGCACTGATTCTTAGCAATGGGGCATTTCAGGAAAAAAGTGTGTATGGTATAAATAGTTAAAAGGTTTTAAACAATGATTTCAGAGGTTCTTTGGTCCTGAACATTGACCAGTTCCAGTAATACTGGAAAAAACACATGGTACACTTTGAAGGTTTAGTATTATACTAATACATATATATTAATCATTAATATATGTTTCCTGACTCACAAAGCAGAGAAACCTAGGTAGACTTCTTCCTTCTATGCTTTGCTCATGAGTTTTCATTCAGAACCTGCTGAGAAACATTTTTTTAAGTTGGTGGCCTTAAAATCACTTAGACTGCTTATACTAAATGTGTATTTGAAACTCTGTCTCTCTGCCACACTTCAAAGACGCTGAACATGCTGCTTATTGTTCAACTACAAGTTTACGGTAAATCAAATACCCAACAATAAACTATTTTAAATCAGTCTCATTCTTCCCCCCCCCCCCCTTTCAACAGTCAGGATGGTAAACTTGCTTCAAAGATTTAGAATGCAACTGTATACAAATACAGTTGGAAGCAAGTCTCTTTATAATCAGAGAGACAAACTTCCAAATAAACATACAAAATACTGCAATACTGAGATTTACTAAATAGAATTCGATGCAAAATCTATAAGCTTTTAAAATTATTTTCAATCTGATTGCTGTTTTTAATGAATGTGAGCTGTCCAGAGATGTACTTGAGTGGGTAACCATATAAATTGAATGAATAAATAATAAATAAATTTAGAGTTAAGACATCCTTAGGTCTATACTTTGTTGTGACTACCAAAGTTAGATGGTAGTCATGGTACTTCAATTCCATGATAGTAATTACCCCCCTCTCAGAATATTAGAACGTTAAAGTTAATTGCAAAGCACCAATAAAGAAGGAATCATTCGTCATACAAAGAATAGAATTTGCTGCCATCAGAGATGCCAGCCACTAAATGATTTTAAAAGAGGACTATACACTTTGATGAAGGATGGGCCTGTTAATACGGCCATCAACATGTATGACTGTATTACTTCTACAAGCATTATGAAGATCACTTGTTAGAAAGCAACAGTGAAAAATGTTTTGTGAGTTTTCATAATATATATAATAAAATAACATGTGCTCAGAATGTTGGATTAAGACTAAGTATTGGGCCTGAATTAGCAAGGCTGTTCTTAAATTCTTAAAATCCATTGCAATTTGCAATTAGGCTTTATAACATCAAAATTTGAATGCCTAACCAAATTAACAGAATGAAAGGAAAAGCAAATGCATACTTTCAGTGGGATGGGATATTACTAGAAATATAATTTAAAACTTACTTTTTCAAAGAAAGTTTGAAGAGAAATAAATTCAAACGTTAAAACTGGGATCAAAGTTGCTTTGAGTCCATGTGAACCCAGTTCCTATAAAGAAAAGTAGAGAGTTTTATGGAAAAAAAGAATCCCAATGATTACCCAATGAAACACCTAAAATGTACAGTGGTACCTCGGTTCACAAACTTAATTCGTTCCGCGACTCTCGTCGCAAACCAAATTGGTCGTGAACCGAATCAAATTTTCCCATAAGGTCCAATGTAAATATGGTTAATCCGTTCTGACCCCTCCGAATTTGGCCGCGACCCAATTTTTGATCGCGTCCTGAATCAAATTTCCCCATAAGGTTCAATGTAATTATGGTTAATCGGTTCTGAACCATATGTTTTTGGTTTTTTTTAACTGCAAAAATATGACACAAAGTACAGTACGAAGAGAGAGAAAGCTAACCTTGCTCGATGCAACTACTGGCATGGAGGACAGGAAGCTGGGTGGGGCGGCGGTTACTGCTTGGAGGGAGAGTCCCCCTCCCTACAGGAAGCCGCGACCACGTGTCACGGGAGGGAAAATGGCCGCGGATCCTGTTCGTCACCCGATGCGGAGTTCGCAAACGGAGGCAAAATTTTGCGACCGGAGCTGTTCATGAACCGAATTGTTGGTGAACAGAAGCGTTCGTGAACCGAGGTACCACTGTATAGGTTTTCTATAGAAACACTGCAATATTTTTTTATTTCTGTTTTTTGACCAACCGGGAACCTGTGAGCTTTAATCATGGCAAAAGTCTGAATGCCCTTTATTAGAGCTGGAAGAGCAACCATCTTTTTTATCCATGAGTGCAGCGTGATACTAATATACTTTCACTAACAAATGCCTCAGCCCACATACCTGTCTGACTCTGACCTGCAGACCTCAGCTCTAACATGCAACCTAATATGCGGGATGTATTTCATCCCCGTTCCCTGCTCTTTGTAACATCTTGCCTCTGGAGAAGTGCTGGAGAACTCTAAAGTTTGTGTCATTTTGCTGATCTGGATAAAAGCACTGTCCAAGTATGGATTTTGGAAAATTTTATGTGAGCAGAAAACATTGGCATTTACATTTTAGAAGTATTTCTGTAATTCTTAACGTATTATAATGAGACCATTTAAAAGCTATATAGACATCAGTAAACAGCACTGAAAATAAAGAGACTTATGATAGCCATGTGCAGATCTGCAAATTATTTAGCAAATAACATCACATCAGGGAAAAAGGTATAGTTTGGAAAAGAGCAGCTAAAGGCATATTTCATTTAAAAATGTTCATGACTATGGCATATATGACTTTGGCAACAGTTTCTCTGAAATGTTTTTACTGTGATATGGAAAAATGGCTGAATTCACAACAAGAGTCCTGCACATGATTATACATGCTAAGTACTTTATTAAAAATGAACTTTAATGCAGTTAGTCCATATAGAAAAAGAAAAAAGATCCTATATAGACATTTAAATGTTTTTAAAATTTATTTTAAAATAAAATGTAGATTGATTTCCTTATAACATGTGGAATGTATCCCATGGATATGTCAGTACTTTGCATGAACCTCTTACCTGGTGGGATGCAGGCAATGGTAGTGTTTGCTTACAAAGTAATCTCTAGATCCTAAGTTGTATAGAATAGCACGAGTATACTTGGGATAAAACTTTTGTACTTCTGGCATGCTGGCCAAAATAATAAACATAAGTAATAATAATGTATTAAATGTACAAGGCTGCTGTCAGGCCCAGCCCAAGAACAACGATGAAACAGTCCAGGCGAGTACAGTTCCTTTATTTGCTTAACCCTTTTAGACAGAATCTTGCCAGACTAAATCTATACTACAGCAACTAGTGGATATACCCTGGGAGATTCCAGGGAGTGGCCATCCTGAATCTCTTAGTCTTCCCACACTCCCTCTGAGGACTGTGTTGTCTTTTGCTTCCTTTCCCCTCCTGGAACGCGCCCCCTCCTTCCTGATAGCCATGATCTCCCACATCACTCTCGTCCCTGTAGATACATTACATCACAGCTGCCAAATCAAAAAAACTTAAAAGTGCCATACGGAGTTAAAACCATCATAAGAATATACAACCAAATACTAGCAGATTGGGATTCTTTTTGTATATTTCCCCAATCACCCATCATTTATCAAGCATGCTCATAGACTGACCTGGCCTTTGGCCTGTTTGAAAAGCCAAGGGTTTAAACTTTTCTAAAGGACAGCTGGGATAGGGCCAGACTAACCTCAGGAAGAATGGCATTCCGTAGGGCAGGAACGATGTACCAAAATTTATTTTGTTCTTACCATTAGCAGAGAATGCTCCATGTGGCACAGTTGTGATTAAACTGATAATCTAGTTTATATTTTTCTATATTACAAAAAAAACAAATGAAAGCCTCACTGGACCAAGTCATAATGGCTGGCAGAATCATATGTATGGACCCATCTGGTGATAAATATAAGCTGAATGTAATGGAAATGAGGTACTTAAAAATATGTGTGTTAAGACAAGACCAGACAGAATCAAGAATGAAGGAAATTAATTATGGACTGAATATAAAGCACAAGAGACTCTGAAGGGCTTTGATCATATATAGAGAATGAGTGAAGAGACTGAATTGCAAAATAAACATATGGAAGAAGAGTGAATGGGTCTAGAAAAAAGGGGGAAATGAGGAAAACATGGCTGGATGGAGCTGATAATCTCAAAAAGAAAGAGATGAATTATTTAAAGAACAAAAGGCAATGTACGAATATCATAATTAAATACTGTAAATAAATATTTCATGAAGCAATATAAGGATGTGGTAGAAGCAATAATAATCTGCAAAGGTAGAAAAGTATGGAGAAGTATGATAACTGGTCTTGGTATAAACAAAAGATATCTGTATTTTCTTTTTCTTATCTAATGCCTTAATTCCTTTGGCTTACCACTGATTTACTCCATTTCAGTGCTTTACATAGCATCACATTAACCGGTAACAGTGTGGTATCTATATACATATCATGTAAAATGTGGAAGCTTGCTATAAAAATAAAACCTACATTTCCTTTATATCGGGGAAAAAAAGTATTACAAGGAAGTCAGACATTAAAGACATTAATCATCCATTTTACCATTCATTCTAATTTAAGCAACGGAGTAGATGCCTATAAGAAATAAATATTCAGTGTAGTAGCATGCCAAATAAATCTTGGATATTAGCATCCCTTATCTTAAACAGTCATGTATCCATCTATTTCTTGTTAATATGTGTCTTACTTCATAAGGTGCTGATAAATTATTGTGATGGCATATGTGGGTGAAGGCAATTTTTTTTGGCACTTTGGTTCCAAATCAAAGTAGACTTCTTTAAAAACTAATCTGTATATTATTCACCTAAGGTACATCAATTTCATACAATGCCATATATTTCATTTTCAGGAAATAATTCCTGTAAAGTTGAAAAGAGAGGCTACAATACATAAAAATGAGATATATACTGTATTACTTCTGGCTTACTGATCTCACACAGCAGCCCTTAATTCACAGCTATCACAGACTGTAAAATATTATTTCCAAAAGACAACTGAAAAAGAGGCACAAACAACTTGCATATTGTTTGAACTAGCCAAAGCTGTTCTTTTGTTTGATCATTCAATTCTTAGTGAAATGTCATCTGTCCAGCACACCCATTAGGCTAAAATGAAGAATTAAATTTTGGATGAGCAGGAATGCGATTCAAATACAATTTTCTAAAATATTATAACTTTGCGTTTAAGTTACTCACATTTATATATGAATCTGGTCCACCATCACTTTCCTTTGGATCCTTCAGTAACAACACTTTCATTGTATACTTGTGAAATGCCTTGTAATAGGGGAACACAAAATGGAAATAAATCTAAAACAGGATTCTTTTTTGTACAAGAGTAGTACTGGTTAATGATCACAAGAAACAGGATAATTAACAGCAACACAGAAATGCTGTTGGTCATAAGATGAGTATGCACTTAATGTGCGCCCTCTGCAAATGCATATCAGCCCTGATAAGGTTAACAAAATGCACATTGTTTTTAAATGATATGTCTTCCCATCCTGAGATGAAAAGGTAAATAGAATTTTTTTTACAAATATGCAGCATATTTATTGTATACTATAAATTTTACATGTAACTTTGTAACATATAACTATGAAAATTCCATCAGTGTTAGAAGACTCCATGCCGTTTCTCTAATACATACTTTACAAGGCACTTATTAAATATTTGCATGTAGACACCTAAGCAAGCCCATCCCAAATGATTTTGTTGTCCTGCACAAAGGAGATAAGCTATGCCTGCCAAGAGGTTTCAGATATATTCCAAGCTGCTTCTCAGAATAGCACTGCAGCATTTGGGAGATTAGCTAAAGTTCAGCAAGAGACACATCCATTTTGTTTAATGCATGGGGCGGGGGGGGGGGGGGGGGGTAGGAGGATCTTTAAAATCCAAATCTAGGGGATATTCTCTTTTCACATCATGAAACAGCCTCATAAACTACAAATCCACTAGATGTTCCCCTGAGGTCTAAGTATTTATATAGCACGCTTCTCATCTGCCTTTCAAAATGTGTAGTTAATTTACAGTAGAAAACATACAATATTAACACCAGGCATTTTAAATGAGCCAGTTAAAGCAAGTTAATTCTAAAATTTAAATAAAAGTGGTGCTATTTTCTAAAAATGTGTTAATATTTGCATTAGTCATCAGGTTGATTTGCTTGCTTTAGCATAATGTTTTACCTGGGATTATGTGTGTTGTGTGGAGTCCTTGGTGCTCTCTGACCTTGGTTGTTTGCTTGCAGACGTTTCATTATACAACTAGGTAACCTCATCAGTGCTAGTGAGTATGGCGTTTGCTCTCTGCTTATATAGAATATAGGGGTTTGCTTGCTCTGCTGGTGTTGGTGGGGACGTGGTTTTCTCCTTGGTAATTCTTTGATTAGGGTATTGTTTTCTGCTTGTTTGTCTGATGTTAATCCCTGTTTATCTGGGTGTAGGCTCCTGGAGAGGATGTGTTCTGCTCTTTTTGTTTCCTTCTTAGCTTTTTTATTGTCCCTTTTGAATGGTGTATAAATGTGGCTTATCTCTATGTGTCTATTGATGGCTGAATATATGTGTTGTGTGTTTGTCTTCCCTGTACTGTAGGTATATTTTGCTAGGGCTTTTGTATCCATAGGTACAGTTTGTAGCTTTTTTATTGTCCCTTTTGAATGGTGTATAAATGTGGCTTATCTCTATGTGTCTATTGATGGCTGAATATATGTGTTGTGTGTTTGTCTTCCCTGTACTGTAGGTATATTTTGCTAGGGCTTTTGTATCCATAGGTACAGTTTGGGTGTACATTTAGTTTGTGCCTGTTTCTAAATATTTCTTTGAGTGCCACCAGTGTATTTTGCTATGCTTGTGGGGGCAAGTCCATGATACCTGGGCTTCTACTTGCTGTCTTAGAATCTTACAGCAAGTTTTTCATTTCTGAGGCTCTTCATCTTGCTTTCTATGATATGGGTATTAGAGCAGAACACTGGGTTGGAATCAAAAGAATGAGTTGTGGATCCAAGGACCAACTTCTCCCCACCTTTTACCTTTTTTTAGGCCATTCCTTTCAAGCCACAGCTTTCTTGGGAGCCACATTGCAAGTGGGTAGCCTTTATGGCAGCCATTTCTTGAAAGCATCAATGACAATCTTTAGAATAGCATATACCTTCCTTTTCTTAAGTTCTCAACCAGAAAGATACATGGATGTAACAGGATATCATGTGTATAAGGTTCTATATGACTTATGCTGCCTCACCCTCCCTTTGGTGGGGGGATTTCTTAATTATCATCCAAAGGAGCTGTACCTATGAGCTAGTACATTTATTTTTCCCTCATGCCATCCATAAGTTCCCTGTAAACAGATGATCATATTTTCCTTCTAAATACTGGCAACTTTAACAGAGAGATAATATATATTTCTGCTCAATATCAAGGTGACAGAATATATCAAGCACAGAAGCATCCTCACATGGTAGGTGAAAGTCCTTGAATGTTTCTTTCCACATCACTGAAAACTGCTGTTCTTTGCAGTTGTGCATTACAGCAACTGCACATGCATTTACAGCAACTTCTATATGTAATGGTGCATATGGGGAACTAAATGTGCACAAATATAGACAACCTGGAAAAACAGTATAACAAAATATGCTTCTCAATGAACTTCTTCACTAGAATGGGAAAAGGGAATACAATTGCCCCTTCTAAGGAGGCAGGACTTCACCATTTTACATTTTTTTATGTTCTCCAATCAACTGAAAATTATATTCCCACCTTAGTATTTGGCAATGAAGTAAAAATTGCACTATTGCATTAATGTTTATAAGAATTGTAAAAGTCTTTGAAGTATGCAAGATTTCAAATGCTACAGAAACTGGGAAGACATGATAATTCAGAAAACTTTCTAAACAGACCTTTGATATCCACACTGTAAAACAAAGATGGACTTTTCATGTCTTCAGAGATAATCTTGTGAGTATCATAAAAATATATTTAGAAAAAACTGCATGATATTAAAAAGAACAGGTTACAGTTCTTAACAGAAACTTACTCAGATCCCAGGTCAATGCATAACTCTATCTGCTGTCAAAATAGGCACAACTGTGATGCTAATTAAGAGCTTAGTAGTACATCTGCTCAAGATATTTAAGATATTAAATATTCTAAAATATTCATAGACTTGCAGTAAAAGCCACAATGATGTCTTAATATACATTATGTCACTTGCCACTCAGTGCAGATTCCTATATCTTAAATATCATAATTGTATTAAACAAATGTATTAGCTAAACAAATTGTATTAGCTAAACAAAACCAAGTGAGGCTTTCCTAGCATCTAAAACAGTGGAAATATATGAAAAAGATACAGCAGTGACTGCAGTCAACATCCGTTCTCTGCTGCCAATTATACACACATGCACCCCCCCCCAGAGTAGCTTCTGACAACAAACTCAAGATATTTATTGTAGTCATAAAATCTTTTAGCAAAATAACACAAGCACTGTACAAGCACAGAGCCTGGTACATAGAAAACAGGCATGGGAACTTATTTTAGCAACAGTTCAAAGAGACAAATCCCAAGTTCAGAAAGATCTAAAAAGTCCATTTCCATCCCAAGTTCTAAATAATCCAGCAACAGCATATGGAGAAAGTAATGGGTAGGAAATTTGAACATTACTTGCCATAAAGAGCCAGTCACAGAAGACATCTCTTTTATATAGCCCTGACTATCAGCTTGAGTTCCTGTGGCACTCTATGGAAGTGAAAGTTGTATACTGAAGAAACAGAAGAAGAAAAAGTATTGACTTTTGAACAGTGGTGTTGGAGAAGACTCCTGAGAATACTGTGCCATGGATAGCCAAGAAACAAAGAAACAGATCATACAACTAATCAGTGCAGACTTTTCATGTAAGGCAAAATGACCTGGCTCAAATTATAGTATCTTGGACACATTATGTAAAGACCTAGCTCTGGAGCTAGGATAAGTTTATAACACTTGGAAAGGTGGAATGTAATAGAAAAAGAAGATAACCAACAGCCAAGGTGGTTGGTCTCAGTTACAGCAACAATGTATGCTCCACTGGAAGATGTGACAGGACCTCCTGGAGAAAATCTATGTGGTTGCTAAGAGTCAACACTGACATGATAGCACATAATCAACCAGTAAATCAATCAGCTTGACTAATTGGCTGAGTCCCACTTCCTTCTTTCAAGTAGATGGTTTTTGACTTCCTTCACTCTTCCGAATTTGTGATGTGTTTCTGGGCTCAGGATCTTGCCTAGCTCAGGCTCTGGATCAGCTGACTCAACCTACACCTGTGTCACCTCAGGTGCACTCTGTTCAGCTAATTCACAGTTCCTCTCAGACTGGTCAAGCTCTTCAGCTTCTGAATCTGAAGGTTCAGACTGTTCCCTAAGAATGTTCTATCCACATATCAGGATTATGACATTACATTTTATCTGGCAAAGCTTCACCCTTCGTAGACAAACCTTAAATTGAAGTAGCAGTACATAATCAAGAGTGCAATACTGGAAGCTACACTAAAGAGATTAGGAGAAACATGTAACTTACTGTCAGCCCCACTAGATAGACCAGGCCATGAAATCAATGCCACAGGAAGGCTACAACTACTTGATATTGGCTGAAACAGAATCTTGCAAGTCAGATTGTACTGTACCTTTTTCTCTTTCTTATCATCCAGTGAATTAGGGAGGTGTCTGCCTGGCCAGCTTCCAAATTTCTCTTGACATTCTGGACTTAAAAATGTTTCAGCCCCTTTTGCCTAGGCAACAGCTTCTGTATATCTCCATCAAGGTCATTTTCTTTACTCTCTACACTCACATCTCTCATCTAAGGAATACAAATCTAAGATGTTTAGATTTAATAAATACTTGGTGATTATATGTAATTGGAAAATTCTGGTCAGTGACCATAACAAAAAACTAACTACCTATGAGCAGGTAAAGAGTCTATAGTACAGATGAACTGGTTCATCCATTCATATGTAACTCTTTGTTATTTCATGAATCCAAGCTCTATGAATGAAAACATTCCATTAGGAAATGTTGTATGTAAGATGGTAACAACTGATGGGGAAGATCAAATTGTCTTTTGGGGGTGTAACATTCCACCTTCCATGATTCATGATTCTGTAGGCATCTAACTGAAATACTTCAATCTTAAACTCTCCCTGACAAACACTGCACTGGTTACATTAATGTACAAGCCAAACACTCTTCAAATCCATCCCTATATTTGATTTTAGTAGGCTTAGATATGGCAGGTAAAATTCAAAATGCTGGCTGCTACCTTTAAAGCCCTATATGGCTCCTGGCCTGGGTAGGTAAATGACCTCTTTCCCAGAAATTCTGCATGTCAATCCAGACAGCCAAGAAAGCCTATCAGGAGGCACAGCAGACTGGGCACAACAGCTGGCATTCTCTGTGGGAGCTCCCTTCCTTTGGAAAAGCTTGCCCTCTGCTCTCATGATTTTCTGGAAGCTTGTAATAACTTGACTGTTCCAAAGCCTTTGGAGCTGACTAAAGTGGAGCCATCAGCATCAGTTGTAATTATTACTATTATTAGTTTGTAAGCTATTTTTGATATCTGTACATAATCTAGCATCTGGTTGGACTGAGGTGCAGATGAATTGCATAAACAAACAAATAGTATCAGGCCAAAAGCTTCCCTATAAAATATTGGGGGGGGGGAGGAATAGAATTATCTAAAGCTCTTGACTTCTCTAACATGGGAATACCAGGCCACTTTAAAAAAACCTTAAATTACAGTCTGTCAGATTTATCTTGTCTCTCATTTGCCATATGCAAAATACTGGCTTACACTGGAGGGCTGACTTTTGAACATAACCTGACCATAAGCCAGTTTGGTCTAGTGGTGAAGGCACCAGACTAGAAAGCAGGAGACTAGTCCCTAGTACTAGACTAGTTCTAGTCCCACCTTAGGCATGAAAGCTGGCTGGGCAACTGTGGGCCAGCCATTCTCTCTCAGCCCAACTCACAGGGTTGTTGCTGTGTGGAAAATAGGAGGAGGAAGGAGTATTAGGTATGTTTGCCACCTTGAGTTATTTATAAAAAAATAATAATAAAGGCAGGATTATAAAATGTTGATCTTTTCCTGACTTTAGGGGAAAACTATGATAAGAAAGAAAATAATAAACAGAAAACAGTTATTTTATTCCTCCTTTTCTACCACAGAAGAAAGACTGCAAGTTTTTTTAAAATCTCTCTTTCTCTATCCTGGGCAGCCAAACTGAATGCAGTATTTCTCTCCCGCTGTCTCTTTTACACGATGATGCCGTTTCATTGCTGTATATTCTTAACAGTGTATTGCTAACATGAGATCTACCGGCCTTGAAAAAAGTGTTCAGCTCGGAAAAAGCAGAAGCGTTTGTTCCTTCATACAGATATTACAACTCTACCCAGCAATCCAATCCTTTGGGTCAACATCCAAGCCATACACATGGAAAAAAACAGACACGGCCACAACCTGCATTCATTGGAGGTTGGCTACTAACAAAGGCAAAATGTACACAAGAAGCTGACCTGCGTGTGCCAGTAAGGTGTATTTAAACATGCACGTGCAGCAGGCTTACTGCATTCGGGATGCAAAACGCGAACAGCCGCTTGCTGGCAACTAGGCATTAAAGGCTTCCGCAACCCGCGAGCGGTCGTGCGGATTTTTATAGCTGGTATCCGGAGGCTCCGCTAAACCAAGGCAGAAGCCAAGCTCCGCCTACACCGACGCGGACCTTCTGACGAAGGGGAAGCTCCGCTCCCGGAACTGCGCGCTCTACCTACCTATCTACGCCTGAAAGGCCAGTGTAAATTAAAATCGTCTTACGCCACCGCGTAAGTGGCAAACGGGGGTGGGCGGAGGAGGAGGCGGTCGTTGGTCGAGTACGAGCAGATTCCCCCGCACGGCGGTTCCTCCCCCACAGGAGGCAGCGGCTCCAGACCACGCCGGGACCAGCGTTCCGCCCCCCGCCGCGTCCTCGCCTTTGCTTTCTCTTCCCCGCCGCCTGCCTTTCCGGCTCGCGAGCGCATGCGCATAGCGGAAGGGGCAGCATGGCCACTGGGGCGAAGCGCAGGAAGGCGGACGGGCCTTCAGGGCTTCGGCTGGAAGAGGAGGAGGAGGAGGAGGAGGCAGGCAGTGATGGCCAGGAATCTGACTCGGAGTTGGAGAGTGATGGCGAGGAAGACGAAGAAGAAATCAATGAGGTGAGGTGAGGTGAGCCCACAGTCTGTCCGCCAGCAGACATGACTTTTGGAGCAACTTCGGGTGCTTCGGAGTTGTCCGCAGCCTCGGGTCCGGGGGGCCTCCAAATGGGCCAGTACCCCAGCTGGGTTGCTGGCCTTGGCTTCAGCCGCTGAGAGGACGCCGCCGTTTCCTTTCTGACAGAGTCTGTCCCCCGCCTGGAAATCCCCCTTCGTTTCCCACCTCCTTAATGTTCGTTCCGAAATACTTCTCGATCTCGTTTCCACTCTCGGAAGTTTCCTCCTCCTTTGGGTTTCATCCCCCAACCCATATGAGTGATAATAACCAAAATGGGAGGCCTCTGAATATATACAAAGTGCATTTCCTTGCTAGCTTTGCCACCAGAATGCAAAACCTAAAGAGCGTCCCCAGTTTGATTCCTTCTAAATATGTTGGACCACAACTCCCATCAGCCAGTGTGGGGTAGACTGTCAGCATGGAGCAGCTTGCATGGGATGTGGCAGTGTGGGTTCCATTTATGGGGGTCGCATTCAAAGTCAATTCAAGAAGGAAAAGAAATTCACAGTGGTTTTGTCTTCAGTTGAGACAAAGAATTTGAGGATTAATATAGGCACAAATTAGTGGGTGTACATGATAAACCATATATCTCAGGTAAGTCTTTAATTTTATGGCTAGATTTTAAAAATTGGTAAAACAATATAGACACTTTTGCACATTATTTCTTCCCTCTTTATTCCTAGGAAGTAAATGTTGAATTTGAAGCACATACAATAACTGATGGTGATAAAAATGGAATTAAAAAATTACTGCAACAGGTATGTATGTTTTGTCTTGTAACACTTGATTTTAGTTTTTGTATTTTAAAATTGTTGTGGTTCTTGACTGAGCTTTAAATGTTCCCAGAACATTGGAGCCATCTGGTAGGCATGTGAAGTTTCGTTTGTCACATTCTGAGAACATTTTAACCATATGACGGTACTATTCTATTATTTCTGGCAGCTTGTTTATTGGGGGGAGGGGAGTATAAAGTTTATAATTTTGAATTCTAATTTGATTTAAAAAGTGCATAGCTGCAGGTAATATTTATTTACCAAGGTTATTTGGAATACTAAATCTCTATGAATAAAGAAAATGAGTACAGAATGGTTAGGTATTATCAAATTGAATTATAAGCAAATTATGCTGAAAGTTATATCATCCTTTGAATACTGGCCTAATGTGAATTCCTGCAAATGAATTTTACAGCTCTCTTTACCTGACCAGTACTAAAAGTGGCTATATCTATCAAATCAGATTTCACAAACAGATTACATTGTATTAAATAAAAGTTTCTTTTCTGCCAGCTATTTCTAAAGGCTCCTATTAATACAGGTGATCTGACCGATATATTGATACAACAAAATCATATTGGAAGTGTTGTCAAGGTAAGGTGTCTTTTCATATTCTCTTAACTTAAACACTGTATTTTCAGGCTAGAATAAGATAGTTTGCACTCTGTACTTATGGTGAATTGGCAATATATAAAGGACTCTTTTTCAAGTATAGCATTTCAGGCTGTAGTATTTGTGGTACATATAGACCGTCTACAGCACACATGCTTAAATTGTAAAGGTTACATGCAAACAATTATTTCTGAATGAATGAATTTTCTTTTTACCTTAACTATAGCAGTACTTAATATTGGAAAAATAATTGTTGATGAACTAAAGAGGCTAGAATTGCATTGCCTTGTAAAAGAAAAAACAACAGCAAACCAAAAACTCCACTTTGTTTCTTTTTCCTAACTGTAATGTCTTACCCTTATTCTAAACAAAGCAAGAGAATAGCTGCAAATAGTTTTTAGTTTATTCAGTTTTATTGCTGTTCAAAAAGAAAAAAAAACACCAGAATGTGCTTGAATACCAGTCACCTCTGAAAGTAAAAAAGGCTGAAACTATTGCTATTCCGCCCTTGTATTCTAAAGATAATAGCATTGTTTGTCAACTGTTAAAATAAAAATAGTAAAATATAAAAATACAACTACATTTACCAAAACAAAAATGGGTTTGCCTCTGAGTTTTTAAAAGCCAAAAAATGATTGCCTTAAAGAGAAAATCTTTTGCATTTAATAATGCAAATGCTTGTTAATAAGCAACCTTTTTAGCAAGCCATGAGAGTCAAAAAGGGAAAGAAATTAACTAAATATCCCTGAATTTAGCTTTGTGGTTCAGTCACACTTCCAGCACCAAAGTGGGTAATTAAGAATATACAGTGGGGCAAAAAAGTATTTAGTCAGCCACCAATTGTGCAAGTTCTCTCCAGAAAATCACATTGTCTGATTTTTAAAGAATTTATTTGTCCAGAAAATCACATTGTCTGATTTTTAAAGAATTTATTTGTCCAGAAAATCACATTGTCTGATTTTTAAAGAATTTATTTGTCCAGAAAATCACATTGTCTGATTTTTAAAGAATTTATTTGTCCAGAAAATCACATTGTCTGATTTTTAAAGAATTTATTTGTCCAGAAAATCACATTGTCTGATTTTTAAAGAATTTATTTGTCCAGAAAATCACATTGTCTGATTTTTAAAGAATTTATTTGTCCAGAAAATCACATTGTCTGATTTTTAAAGAATTTATTTGTCCAGAAAATCACATTGTCTGATTTTTAAAGAATTTATTTGTCCAGAAAATCACATTGTCTGATTTTTAAAGAATTTATTTGTCCAGAAAATCACATTGTCTGATTTTTAAAGAATTTATTTGTCCAGAAAATCACATTGTCTGATTTTTAAAGAATTTATTTGTCCAGAAAATCACATTGTCTGATTTTTAAAGAATTTATTTGATTTTGTCTCTCATAGTTGAGGTATACCTATGATGAAAATTACAGGCCTCTCTCATTTTTTTAAGTGGGAGAACTTGCACAATTGGTGGCTGACTAAATACTTTTTTGCCCCACTGTACTTTGCAAACCTTAAGGAAAGAGTAGGCTCTTATGGCTATGAAAATATAAACTTTTTTAAAAAGTTATTAAAAATCTGCTGCTGGCCAATAGCCCTAAAAGCCTGTAGTAAAAAGGCAATTGGCTTGACTGCAATCTTGGAAATAGTGACTTTCAGTTGTTTTTCTGGTAACCTGCTGAAAAAAATGTATATGATTAGATTGACTAAAAATTGTAGCATAAAAATGGCAAGTTTAGATTCCTGCCTTCAGGTTGATGAGACTCATATCATGGATTATCTGTGGGTAGTTTTATTCAGGGAACCATAAATTACTGAAGGGCCATCTCCCCAATGTTCATGTTTCTAGGTCCATTTAACTCATAAGGTTAGCTCACTGCTCCCCTTATATACTAGCTCTCTAATATGATATACTAGTTCTAGCATATGGAATTTGAATTTCCCACAGCATTACTGGAATGCTAATGACCAACAAGACAGTTCCAACAACTTCCTGTTACGCTTCTAGACAGTTAGATTTTAGGCAGCGCAGTATCATTTTGCACAGGCCTCCAACTATCGGATAGAACAATGGAGCAAATAGGTTACGATTTTGATGTAGTTGTGTAATTCACTGTTACTAATGAAAAAGATGAAGTTGACCACAGTTGATACAGTATTTCAGAGACTAGATTGAAATGTTCAAGTTCACCGATTTCATGTAATTCAGCAGAAAATTGATGAAAGGGCTGTTTGCACCAACATTTCATTTGTAGTTCTAAGTACAGATTAGTATATAAGTAAGTACAAAGTGATACACAGTAGCTTGAAAAACGTAGACAGTACATACATATTTGTGGGATTTGAGCTGATAATGATTGGTCAGAAAGCGTACCTTTGAGTCTCGACAGCTGTCAATCCAATGTGCAGCTATCATTAAAGAAATTTCAAGGGAATTGAAAATAGAACTGCTAATACAGTTATATAAATATATTATGTAATCAGATTGGAATACTGCGTAAAGTGCAATTGTACTTTTGGTCATCTCAAACATGATACTGTATTGTAAAATCGAAATGATGCAGAAAAATGGCAACTAAATGATTAAGGAACTAGAAGGTTGTATTTGCAGATAATGCTCACATGGAAATTATACAACCGAAGTCCATGTGTTTTGTGTGTCTACTGTGCTTAATAGGACATGCTTCTGAATAATGTGGTTTATTTAATAACAGGAATGTATGTGCTCCACTGCTCCCAAAGCTCCAGGCATTTTCCAACATAAATACATTATCTTACAGTCATTTAATGTTTTTGCTCGAATTGTATGGTTAGTCACAAGTTCCCAGGCATTCATTGATGTGATTAACATTTTAATGCTTTAGTTTGGGATAGCTTACCTTAAAGTTTGCCTTTATCAAAATGATTCTGCTTGAATATTAAGATGGACTTTATTGTGTGTGCTGTAAGGTCAATGAAATTGGCAAGTGCAAAAGAGATGGACTTCATAGTGGTGGTTCCACAGATATGGTACTCTGAATTGACTTGTCCTTGGGCCCTTTAATGCAGGTAGTTAAGCTGGTGTTGAAAACTAAATTCTTCAATGCTGCCTTTTCCAATGAAACTAATTCTGCTTTTTTTTCTACTGATATCTGTACAGTATTAGTCCTTTTATGTTATATTGCTCCGAAAAGCAGCTCATATGCTTTAACTTAAATACAGCTAGCCTTTTTCAGCTTGGTCCTTTTTTAATTTATTGGACTACAAATTCTAATGTCCAGACTGGCAGGGGATTCTGGGAGTTGAAGCATGCCCAGTAGAGAAAGCCATATTGGGAAAAAGTCTTCATAAAAATGTTGAAGAGAACAAGCATCAGCTGTATTTTATTGTTTATTTTCTATTTCATAGCAAACAGAAGTTATAGAAGAAAGTGATGATGAAGATGATGAAGAAGTTTTTGGCTTTATAAGCCTCTTAAACTTAACAGAAAGGAAGGTCAGTAATCATGAGCATATATAAATCAACATAAGCTTAATTTGGCAATGAAATATTGAAATGTTTGATGGTTGTTAGAGTTATTTAAACAACTGTTATACAGGTAGTCCTCATTTAGCAATCACAATCGGGACCAGCAACTTGGCCACTAAGCAAAGTGGTCACTAAATGAGAAATCACGTGACTGCAGCTGTGCTTTCCAGCTGGAAAGAAACAAGACTACTCAATTTCACACCTCCAGCTTTTGTTTGCTTCCTAACCACTCCCCTGCCCTTTGGAATGCTTAAGTGCCTGCTTACTGTCTTATACACATCGAAAGCAATGCAACCACATTGGCAGCCCAGGGCTGGGAGTTGCAGGCACTCTACGCAAACAGCTTACTCTCTTGAAATCCCTTCTTCTCCAATCTCTTGGCGTGTGTGTGTGTGGGGGGGGAGAAAGCAATTGATTTCTGTAGCCAATCTCTCCTTTGCCTGATCCCCCCCCACAGAGCAATTGCATCAACAATGCGATTGCATTGCTTTCTATGTGTAGAAGAGCAAATAGCTTACTGTCTTGCAGTCCCTTCTTCCCTACTCTCTCTGTTCTGCAAAGGAGGGGGAGAAAAAAGCCACAGGTCAGGCACAGGATAAGGCGTACTGACTATAATGGTAATCACGTGACTGAGGGATGCTGCAAAGATTGTAAATGGTCATAAATTGGCCATAAAATTATATTTCAGCACTGTGGTAACTTCGAACGGATGCTGAATGGGTGGTTGGTAAGTGAGGACTACCTGTAACTCGAATCACTCTACCCAAAATTTATGAAGGCACAGCTTCTTCCTTGGGAGTCTGGATAGATTTCAAGGGGTCTTTGAATTTGGATGGGGAAAAAATTACAACTTTATTTTCATATATACTACTATATCACATATCTGATAATTTTTAATATTTTGATAACTATTTGACCATAATTGGTTTCCTTTGTCATATAATCTATGTATGTAATACAATCTATATCTTTATAATATTTATTTTATGTATTTAAATACATTTTTCTGAGAAGGGGTATGCAGACTCAAAGAGGTCTATGACGCAAAAAGGTTAAGAACTCCTGTTGTAAGAATTGAGTGAATAATTTTAAAAGAAATCCTTTCAAATTATTAACAGCACAGCAGTGATTTTCCTACTGTCTAGGAAAAAAATGCCCAGTAGTTTGCTTTTCAAGTTGTCTTATGTAAACAATTATTTTGTAGCACAAAGAAGATCTGTCTTTTGATTCCTAGGGTACTGAATGTGCTGAGCAAATTAAAGAACTGGTCTTAAGTCAGTGTGAAAAGAACTGTGAACAGAATGTGGTTGAGCAGCTGGATAAGCTTTTAAGTGACACCACTAAGCCTGTGGGCTTCCTGCTAAGTGAAAGATTCATTAATGTACCTCCCCAGATTGCTCTGCCCATGCACCAGCAACTACAGTAAGTGCTTCTCCCAAATCATTTTTGAACTGTAATTTTTATCCTTGGATGACCTCTGAAACCTTATTTAAATGGAAATATCTAGAATGGGAGAATAGAGAATAGAGCTAGAGAAATGAGCCCATTTTAATATTGCTGTCTAACATGGCCTTTAATACAAACATATTGTGAATAAATTATTTTATTTAATTGCGGAGATACTTTGTAAGGGACATAAATGCTACTTAATATTTAGCAGCAGTATACTGCAGGCAAACAACTGAATTTTGTAATTTTCAGAGTTGAAGTAGTAGCTAGAGAATACATTAAAACAATCACGTTTTCTTCTCAACATTAAAACGATACTGTAGTGGTTGCAGTTTGTGGGTTGAGGGCTGGATATAACAGAAGTGCTTTGTCCTTAATCTTTAATGTCATTAACATGCTTATTTCTAGGAAAGAACTAGCTGAAGCTCAGCGTACAAACAAACCTTGTGGCAAATGCTACTTCTACCTTCTGATTAGCAAAACTTATACTAATAAGAAGAATGCTAAAAAAAAAGGAAGTGGTACCCACCAGAAAGAGGAGCTAATGTTTTCAAATGCTGAAGAAGAATTTTTCTATGAGGTAAAACTATTGTTTAGTTCAATTTCCTGAGTGCTTTTGATTTACTTACTTACTTTATTACACTTATACACTGCCTGACTGCCAGCAACTCTGGGCAGTTTTGTGGATTTAAGCTTTTTATTTCTAATGTGAAAATCACTATTGATTATAGACTATAAATTGTTTAGCACACACAACTGCCATAATGATAACCACATATATAATTTGACAGCTTACCCTCAAGTCCTGTGTCCTTGTTTTGTGGATTACTGCTATAGATCTAGCTAGGAAGCATCTGCCTTGAATAGAAAAGTTGTGGGATTGGTCTCTGGAGTTGGACTCTCCACTGTTTCAGCTCTGAAACAACTGCTTGATCTTATGCTTGGCTAACAGAGGAATGGTACTTTATGTTGTTCTTGCTGCCATGACTATTCATATATACTGATTTCAGTGGAGGCACTTCCAAGTCGTCTTTTAAGTAGGAATTTTCAGTTACAGCTGGTTTTCATTAAAAGTCTTGTTTGGTACTTAGAGAACACAAAATTATATACTTTCTTCCTCTTTGGGAAATAATCTGAATCAGTTTTGTTTTGTTTTTTTAATAGCAATCACTGCTGAAATTCAGTTATTCAGTAGAAGACGACAGTGACTCATGTTTGGGAGGCAGATGGTCTTTTGAAGATGTACCTATGAAGCCTTTACGAACAGTGATAGTAATCCCTGCTGACAGGATGAGTGTCATCATGGAGAAGCTCAAAGAATATCTTTCTGTCTAAACCACTTTCTATGCAAACTATATTGTGAAGTCATCCTTTAAGACTTTGACAACTGAGTCATAAATGAATATTTTTTAAAACTAATTTGCATCCTTTCAAGATTTCCTTCATATTGTAAAATGTCAGCTATACATCTACAACATCTTTATATGCCATGAGTTGTCATTTAAAAATGTGTAATCAGAAGTTTCAAATAATTGTCAGTATTTATTTGCTGCGTACTTTTCTAGTTGGCTCTTGTGTGCTGAATATGATACTGTCTTCATTTGTTCAATTATGATAGACAGAAATCTCTCATGCGTCTAGTTGTAATAAGTGGTGTTTCACCATACATTATACATAGAAAAGAAACATACAGGTGGTCCTCATTTAACGACCACTTGTTCAGTGACCATTTGAACCTACAACAGCATTGAACAAGTGGTAATTACAATTGGTCCTCGTACTTATAGCTGTCGCTGTGTCCTGCAGTCACATGATCGTGATTTGCAACCTTCTCTGCTGGCTTCCAACAAGCAAGTTAATGGGGAAGCTGGCAGGAAGTCGCAAGTCACAGTCACAGGAGGTCCTCACTTAACAACTTGCATGGTCATCGCTTAATGGCGGCAAGTGGGACTGCTGGAACTGCAGCCCAGTCACATGTTTTTTGATTTAAAACCATGTTGCTTAGCAACAGAGTTTCCAGTCCCGATTAGCATCATTAAATGAGGACTACCTGTACTAATAGAGTTTGCAGTATGAAACTTATTGAATAATGCATCATTATTCAGTTGAAATTTCTAGTTCTGTATCATATATTCTGTCTTGATTTTCTGTTCCTTTTCTGTTTCTGAAATGGTTGATAAATGATTGATTGTTTAATGCAGAACAGTCTTATTTTCACTAGCAGGCAAATTACTGAAATAGTATTAATTGAATGTATTTGATTAGGTGCCACCCAACCCATAGTGACTCTGGGCAGCTCACAGTATGGCAAAGAAAATAAAATGCAATATAATTCAAAAAGACAAAACCAACAAAAACAAATATGATAGTACTGAAGTGCCAGCTCTGCAAATCTGTTAAGAAATAGAATAAACAAAAACAATGCATATTTTAAGATTCTCATTCCTCCTCCTCCTCCTCCTCCTCCTCCTCCTCCTCCTCCTCCTC